GGTGTTCGCAGGCGGCCCAGCAGGGACGTCCCTGTGTGCATCACAGGTCCCTGGAGAGAGGAAACCGGCGACAGGATGGTGCTGGTGACATGCAGGTGGTGGGGCTGGAGGGAAGGGCCTGGGCTGGGGGGGTCCATCCCTCCCAAACGCCCCCCGGGCATCAGATCTCACTCGCCGTCTGTCCTCGTCCTGTCACCACCTTCCTGCTGGGGCTTGCTGGGCCACCCAGGCTGGGACATGGGCACTGGGCCTGGCCGCAGACCTCCCGGACCAACTGGGGGGCTCAGCAGGGAGAGGGTCCCGCTCCCTCCCTCTGGGAGAAGAGAGCCAAGCTTCCGTCGATGCGTTATTAGTGTTAATTTTGATGATTAACATTGTTTTTCCCCTTATGGTGGAAATTTCTTGTGCCTTGTCACTCCCACAATTCACTTCTCTCACAGCGGCTGGTGTCTTGCCAGACTCAGGGGAGAAAAAAATCCGCTGTCAGAATTCTTACTTGAAATCCCCGTTGGGCAAACGGCCCCAAATCCTCAGCTTTTGACCAAAAATAGACTCAAAAAATTGAACAGAATCATCCTGCCTTCGGGCTGCCTGTTTCTGCGGGGAGCGAGCCCCCGGCCCTGGGCAGCAAGGAGGGTCTGGGTGTCTCGGGGGCTGGACCGGGGTGCCGCAAGGACCTTCCTTGGCCACCGGTTGTCCCTTTTTGTCCTGGGGTTTGGTTTTTGGCCCCGAAGTGGACGTCCCGACTGGGGACATTGGTCCCCAAGCTGCTGGCAGGGCTGGGCAGCGCGGTGGCACCAGGCAGAGTCCCTGGTTAACCTGCCGTGCCCGTCTCTCCCGGCTGCAGGTACACGGTGCTCTTCTCGCACGGCAACGCCGTGGACCTGGGGCAGATGAGCAGCTTCTACATCGGGCTGGGCACCCGCATCAACTGCAACATCTTCTCCTATGACTACTCGGGCTATGGTGTGAGCACGGGCAAGCCCTCGGAGAGGAACCTCTACTCCGACATCGATGCCGCGTGGCAAGCGCTCAGGACACGGTGAGCAGAGCGCTGGGCAGCGGGAGGGGAGGATGTCCGGGAAAACCCGGCCGGCGGCTGTCTGGAAAACAGGAAAT